TTGTAAACATATCAGCCACTTGAAGCTTGGTCGGGACAAATTTGGTGTGGAGCTTCCTGGAAGAGACAAGTTCACGAATAAAATGATAATCCAACTCAATATGCTTAGTTCGTTTGTAAGAGACCAGGTTTTGTGTGAGAAATAAGACACTTTTATTATCACACAAGAGTATGGGACGATCTCGAGGTAGAGGATGTAGCTCCCGTAATAAATGAGTGATCAAGATTATTTCCGCTGCGGTGTTTGCCATCTCCCGATGCTCAGACTCACAACTCGAACGAAAGATGGTGGGTTGTTTCTTAGCACTCCACGAGACAAGATTGCCACCTAAAAAAATAGAGTAGCCATAAGTAGAACGACGCGTCTCAAGACATCACGCCCAGTCCGCATCAGAATAACAAAGAAGGGCAGTGGAGTTATGTCGAGAAAAGGTGAGGCCAAAAGAGATAGTGCCCTTAACATATCAAAGAATACGATTGACACTCTAAAAATAAGAGCGAGTAGGAGCTTGAAGAAACTGACTAACTTGATTAACCGCATAGAAAATGTCAGGATGGATGATTGTCGGGTATTGCAGCGCACCGACAAGAGACCGGTAGAGTGTCGAATCATCAAAAAGATCACCACTTGGGACAAATGCGGCATTCAAAGCAAGTGGGGTGGTAGATGGTTTAGCATCAAGAAGGGCCGTCCTTTGTAGAATATCGTGAGCATACTTGGATTGACTAAGAAATAAGCCAGTATTAGTATGGATGACTTCGACCCAAGGAAAAAATTAAGGCATCCGAGATCGTTGATGGAAAATATATCATGTAATTTGGCAATAAAAGATTGGATGACAGAGTCTTGATTTCCGATCAAAACTAAATCATCGACATAGACAAGCAGATACAAAATGCACGCGTCCCGTTTGAACACAAACAAAGAGGTATCCGCCTTACTACATACAAGCCCAGTAGCAATAAGGAAGGTGCTGAGCCGATGGAACCAGGCCCACAAAGCCTGTTTAAGCCCATAGAGAGCTTTGTTAAGACGACAAACGTGATGAGGAAATAAAACATCTAAAAAGCCCGATGGTTGCTCCATATATACAAGCTCATTCAGTTCGCCATTAAGAAAAGCATTGTTGACATCAAGTTGGTGAAGTTTCTAGTTGTTAAGAGTAGCCAAAGAGAGCACAATTCTAACAGTGGAGGCTTTGACGATCGGATTGAAAGTGTGAGAGTAATCGTGCCCGGGACTTAACTGAATCCCTCAGCAACGAGACGAGTTTTGTGTCTTTCAATTGAACCATCAACATGATATTTAGTGCGGAATAGCCAACGACAACCCACAACATTCTGATGTTCAAGTCTGGGAACCAATGTCAAGGTATAATTTCGGTGAAGGGCATCCATTTCTTGATGCGTGGCAGTCATCCAATGCGGGTGTTTAGAAGCAATTTGAAAACCCTTTGGATCTTTGGAAGCAAATTGAAGCAGAGAAAAGCTCATGAGAGTTAGTGTGGGATAAATCAGCCCGATGTTTCGGGTTAAAAATGCCAGCTTTGGCTCTCGTAGTCATCGGATGGCCCACACAAGGGCCAGGGGCAACAGGATCATGAGCAGGAGATGCAGGGGAAGTAGACTCGGATGTAGCAGGCTTGGATGCAACAGGCTCTGCTGCAGGATCGGATGCAGCAGGTTCAGAAACCACATGAGGGTTGGGGTTAGCAGGCGTAGGGTTAACCACCGAAGCATTTTGGACATCGTCACATAGACCACAGGTAGGCAGAGGTGGTGGTCTGACTTGATTAGAAGAGGACAGGGATGAGGCAACCTGCACAATAGGGAAACAAGAAGAATCATCTTGAAAATTTGTTAAGATGAGCATGGTCACCGGGGTTTGAGAAGTGTCACCGGTGAAGGGGAAAAGTTGTTCATCAAACTTAGCATGTCGGGTAATATATATGCGAGAGGTGGTACGTTCAAGACATAGATAGCCTTTATATTGAGAACCCAATATGATGGAGGAAATGCCCATTAAATAACATTGCGTCCAATTTCAACAATACATCGATGTTTACATTCCACCCGTCTATTTTGTTGGGGGGGGGGGGGTACGGGCATGAGATGTGGTGGAACGTACCATTCTCATCAAGCAATATTTGAACACTGTGGTTTAAGAATTTCGTGCCACCATCGCTTTGGAAAACCTTTATTTTACGAGAGATTTGAGTTTGTACAAATTTTAAAAAGACATTCAAAATGGCATGAAAACCCGATTTAGTGCGATGAGGGTAAAACCACGTAAATCTAGAATAATCATCGACAAACGTCACATAATAACGGTAAGAATCCACTGAGCATTCAAGTGATGGGCCCCATAAGTCACAATGTATCAAGGTTAACATATGTAAATACTGTTTTTCAGTATTCTTAAAAGGTAAACGGTGTGCCTTTGCAAGTTGGCAGGAAGAGCACACAACAGGTTTCGGTAATAGAGAGGTAACCGATAAATGACCCTTTTTATTTAACAGTACAAGAGTATCAATGGACATATGTCCCAACCGAGTATGCTAAAGTTCAAACAAAGCTTTCAATTTGGATCTAGTGGATGCAAAAGGACCTGAGGGTTGGTAGTAAGCACATACAAACCCCGATCATATCTGCCTTGAGCTAGAACCCTTTTCGTTGATCAATCCTGGATATAAAAATGAGGTTGGGAAAATCAAACATCCAAATGATTGCTAGTGGTCAATTTGCTAACAGATAACAAATTTTTAGAAAGGTTGGGAACGACCAACACATCTCGAAGCCGTATATCATTAGAAAAAGAAGTGTGACCAATATGAGAGATAGGAAGAGCAGTACCATTCCCAAAAATGACCTTGCTATTTCCTGAGTATGGTGTGGGTTGAGTTATCGAGTCAGCGGAAGAGGACATATGATCCGTGGCACCGGAGTCAACATACCAATATGGACCGGAGGTTGAAACGTGGCATTAGGCGTGAAAAGTTATGGCTAGATCAGTATCAAAATCGGGAGCATGAGTGGCAAAAGTGGCAAGACGTGGACATGCATTAACATAATGACCGTTTTGACGACACAATTGGCAATGAGGGGGACGACGTCCATGCCCCGACCACCACGAAAAGATCTACCACCACGACCCCGATTGGGGGTAAAGTCATGAGTTTGTACATTACATGCCACTGGTGGAGATACGGTACCATGAATTGATTGAAGAAATAGTTTGTGCCCTTCGGCTTGAGCAAGAAGACCCCGAAAGGGAAGGTGGGAGCAAGATGCCCGAATTGCAATGGAAAAGGTCTTGAACGAGGCACTAAGGCCACATAAAAACTAGTGTGATTTGTTGGAGTCGTCGATAGGGCTACCAAAAGCCGATAATTGATCGCATAAGGACCTGAATTTATGCCCAAAATCGGTAACACGGGAGGTACCATTGGAGATTTTACAACAATGATCACGTAAGTTTTGAACTCGCTCAACATAAGAGTTACTGTAGCTAGTTTCCAAAGCCACCAAGGTCTGGCGGGCAATGACGAGACCAATGACTTTCGAGAAGGCTTCTTCAGAAAGTGAAGTATGGAGAAGAATCACTGCTCTCTGATCAGCAGAAAGCCAAGCCGAATATGTTGGATTTGGCAATAGTTTTCCGTCAAAAAGGATTTCAGCTGCCAGTGCACATGTGGATCCATCAATGTGGTCAAGCAGGTTCTGATAGGAAATTGGGGGGGGGGGGGGGTAAGAAGTTGGTTTTTCCACAACAGGTAATTGGAGGAAGAGAGTTGATTGGTGATGAGGTGTAAAATAGTATTCAGTGGGAGGAGTGTATCAAAAGATGAGGAGGATGCTATGGATCGTCAAGAATGGAAAACAGAAGGGAAAAAAAGAAGAAGAAACGGGTGGGGAAGAAGAATAGCGGGATGCATGATCTAGGCGAGTGATACCATGAAAGAATAAGTCTCCATGACCAATAAGGAGGGGATCAAAACAATTTATAAAAGACAAAGTTACAAGAACAACCCTCTAAGAATAAAGGAAATACAGGAAGGTAAAACATCACAATAAATAAAGAGACTTATAATTGGCTAATATTTTTAATATTTTTATCATTTCATTTAACTCTTTTACAATTTATATTAGTATCTAGTTAAATGATTTCATCATTTCATCTTCTCATTTTGGTCGCCCATTCACCACAACCACGGTTTCAATTGAAATGTTACATAACAATTTTTTATTATTTTTACAAAAAAAAAAAAAAAAACTAATAATAATCAAAGTCTTAATGATTAACGTTATGTTTGATGCGCCACAACCAACTGAATTGATAAAAATATTAAAAGTAAGGATCTTTCAATTGAGACCATAGTAGTGGTGAATGAAAGACTAAAATGAGAAGTTGAAATGATGAAGTCATCTAACTAGATACTAATATAAATTATAAAAATGTTATATGAAATGATAAAAATATTAAAAATAATGACCTAATATTGACAAAATTAAAATTTTATTACCTTTCTTTAAACGGTTATAACAACCATGTTTGTGTAATATGTACATAAAAGACCTTAGTGACCTAATGTGGATAAAATTAAACCCTTATTACATTTTTTAAACGGTTATAACGACCATGTTGATGTAATATGCATTGAAATAACCTTAAGAACCTAATATTAACAAAGTTAAAACTTTATTACCCTCTTAAGTCATAACCCTATCACTTATCACTGAAGGAATCGCCGAGTTTGTTTTTACTTCATTCCATTTATATTTTTTTTCCCATTTTAGTTTGTATTCTACATTAGAAATTGAGGAATGATTTTATTACTTATTAGACCAGTCTTTATATATAACTATGAAAGATCGATGGTTCACGTAGAATAAAAACTTTTGGTTATGCATGAATAATTGAAAAAAAATGTTGAAAACAAATGGGTCAAATAACTCAAGTGGTCAAACAAGTTGAAAGTCATATAAAATGCATTGAGATGAGGGGTTGTTTGATAGGCCAACTTCGAATCAAACCCAACCTCTTATTACACCTGATAAGAGGTTACTGGACGAAATCAAAGACTTCTATCAAACAGTTAGAATTTCACTGAGTGAGACTAACTTTTTACTGCCTGGTAAAGAGGCTTACAAACAACCCGTTATACTGTCTTTTACAATCATATTTAATACATTAATTTGTAACGGTAATAAAATGTTTGCCGGTCAAACCAACCTCACTCTACTTCCTTGACTCACCCCCACAAAATACTTGTTTTGAGTTTTGACTCACTTTGACATAAAAAGACAAAGTATCGGATTACTTGTTATAAAAAAAAATGGCAAACAAAAAGTTGTAAAGAACCCCCCTTCTCTTCCTTATATAGAATAATCAAATTATTAATAATACATGAAACATACTCTAACCCTTATAAAAATTACATCCAAAACCCAATGCAATACAAGCTAGAGGCCTTTTTTACAGCTACAACAATAGTCAATAGATATTGACATATTATTGAAAGTCTATGTAGAATTGGTTATGTAGAGTAGCAATTGCCCAATGTGAGTTGAAGCTAGATTTGAATGCTACCAACTTAGTAATGGTTTGTGATCAAAAACGGTTTAAACGTCAATATAACTCCAATTGCTTCGATTATATTCAAGATGAAAAATATCATTTGGTCACCTGCGATACAAATTAAATAAACAAACCAACCCATTAAATTTAACCTTTTTCTCAGTCCAGTCCAATGCATACCAAAAGCTTATGCAGTACAAGGGAAAACACGTACCAGGAAGAAATGCTGCATTTTTTCTTTGTTGGGACCACGACAATCTACAAAAAAATAAAATCAAAATAAAATAAATTGAGTTTTGATATTATTGTAAGTCTTTATATATTTAATATTAGAAGCATAAAATTCAGAAAAGAGTACTTGTACTTTCACCATTTTATCAGTTTAGCTACTTAATTATTTTCTATAGTGGTTACATGATTATTATACTTCTTTTGACCATTTAAAGGAAGCTTTTTAACCGGGGAAAATACAGATTAGCACAACATACTTTCACAATTTAATTGTTTTAGCCAATAAACTCCAATTATTTTTTTATTGATTTAGCTTTTCAACTCTTATTATAATAATCACATAAAAAGAATAATACTCACAGTGCTCCTCCACAAGCTGGACCAATGGCTTTGCAAATTGACTGCATAGTCATGGCTATACCATTCGCTGCACCTCTTTGGTGTTGATCCTATTATTTATATTATTCATGTAAATTTGTAAAATATAAAAATTAATTTACACAAATATAAAGAAGGGCTAAATGCCAGAAATAACAAAACACTTTCCTTTCTTTTTATTACAACATTCTACTTTCAACTTTTTTTTTTCCTTATTAATTTATTGTATACTTTGAAAAAAAATTCTAATAGTAGCACTCTACTTTCAGTTTTCTTTTTTTCTTTTCTTTTCTTATGCTTAGAAAAATCTACACAATTATAGCAGTGAAAATTGCTTTGTATTTGGATGACAATGCTATAATTGGGTAGATTTTTCAAAGTACAATGTTCTAATAAGAAAAAATGAAATTAGGCTTAAAAAAAAAAAAAAAAAAAAAAAAAACTACAGAACTGAGGAGGTGAAGATTACCACAGCTTTATTTTGCAGCATGAATGTCCCTGTTATGATGGATACCTGTTGATGACAAGAAACCAAATTATCAGGATAAAAATAATTATAACAGTTCTTGCATTTTGTATAAATATGTGCAAATCTTATCTTACATTTAGTAATAAACTAACAGTAGCATGCAATTAATGAAGTAGACAGATTTAGTCCCTGAAAAACTTACAGATAAAACATTCTTTATAATGGATGCACAATTTAAAGTCAACGAGAGAGCAAATCCAGTCAACATGGCTATGAATGGATAACTTGTGAGTAGTGGTATAGACACAACCTGTAACATATTCAATCCACTTATCAAACAAACCTCCCATTTTTCAAAAATTCATATATAAAACTTTTTTTTTTTTTTTTTTTTTCTCTCTCGTGCAAAATCAATACTTACATCAAAAATGAATAATTAGATTAAAGAAATGGTAAAAGAAAAACTAAATTAAAGAAAAACTGCTTACTCCTGCAATGCGAGCTACTACTATGGGGCCAAATATCCTCTCCATAATTGGATACAATGTGAACTGGAAGACAAGAAGTCCAACCCCTACAAAAGGTTGAAAATAAAACATTGTAATAGAAAGAAATGGAAATGGGATGTGTATTATTTATACACAAATTAATGAAACAACATTGTTATTTCTTAAAATTCTTACCTGTAACAGACAAAACTGTCCCTACATCTTCAGTAGTATAATTCAATCCCCCCAAACTCTTAGGGCTCACAGCCCACAATGAGAAAATCTGTAAAAAAAGATAAAAGAAAACACCATGTTAGGGTTTCTTGATTTGATTTTGTTACCTTATGACTGGTTTAGTTTTCTTTTTGTGGTCTAGAATTGTATATAAATCAATAAACTTATAAACCCTAGTTCTAAATCAATCCTAGGGTAAAAGAGGAAAGAAGGTAAACTTACCTCTGAGTAAGCCATGTCATGAAGTGAAAAAACACAGTAGACAATAATAGAAGACATTAGTGGCCAGTTTTTCAGGAGGCTTCCTAAACTTGAATCTTTTCCTTCATTTGTCTTTCCCTCAGTATCATATGAAGCAGACTCCAACTCGTCTTTTTTATGAAAATGTAATGTTTCCTACAGTTTGAGAAAATTAATTAAATGCAAGAGAAAACAACCTATTTTTATTATAGCATCTTGCTTTCATTTCTTTCTATTAAAGCATATATTGTATGTTGAAAAACTTACCAAGTTATAGGCTTATAGCAATATCATCTATTTTTCTTTTTCTTTTTTTTTTTTTTTTCATTTTTCAAAGTACATTGTCTAAATAAGAAAAAGAAATTAGGAGGTTAAGAAAAACAGAGAGTTTAAATTGCATACCGGAAGCCACAATGCAGCAATGGTCACAAAAAGTGCAAAAATGGAGATACAAAGGCAAGGCAATAAGTATGGAAATCTGCATCAAAAGTCAAAGTTGTAATTTGTTGCCACTTAAAAACATAATAATAATATAATCATTATTAAGAAATAAGTAAGTCACCTCCCAAATAGAGAATCTGAAGATACTAGAGCAGGAAATTTCTCTGCAGGCTTAATTTAAACCAAAAACAAAAAAAGATAAAAGGAATTAACAAAAAATGTTATAGCATTCTTTCAATCATTTTGCTAAATGTTATATGCAATTAACATAGAGCATATAAAGATACAAGTAGAGATATACACCTGTGCAAGGTAACCTCCCAAAGCTGGGCCAATGATGAGTCCTATTCCCCATGATGTACTAATCTGTAATAAACCACTAATTTGTTAAAAAGAAAATATTGTATATAATCATTAATAAAAGAATTTTGCAAGTGTTTGATAATACATCAACTTGAAATTGGAATCTTATTATTTGTATTAAGAAAGAAAGAAAGAAAGAAAATAAAAGGGGACAATTGCATACAGCTGACAATCCCAAAGCTTGATGTTCTTCAGGGAAAAGTTCACATGCATATGCCTGTTTATTCACAGAAAGTTTATAAACACTTTTAATAATTTTACACATTTTTAAGATGCTAAATATGCAAAAGGAATACCTTTATTGGTCCAAGTAGCCCATTTAAAAATCCAAGAAGAAACCTTGTAGCAATAGCCATCCAATAATTTACACTAAAACCAAAAAGTGTGTTGAAAATAACCCTGAAAAGATTAAAACCACAACAACTATGAGAAAACAAAAAAAAAAAAAAAAAAAAAAAAAAAAAGGATTAAGTATACAGAAGTAGAAGAAACAATTTAAGTGAAGAAGTCACTAACACTGTTGATGTGCCCAAAAGAATAACTGGTTTGCGACCATATCTATCAGCCACCACTCCCCAAAACACAGATGTCATTGCCCTTCCAATCATATATGCAGACCCTTCATAAGATTCATAGGGGTACAGAGGGCATTTACGTCTTTTTCTTTTTCAATGTATCAACTTGTTCTATTGATTCATGAAACATAATGGGGGAAAAGTTGCTTACCAACAAAACCTGCATAGTAACTAATGTCCTCCTCTTTCTCCGCAATGTTGAAATCCTTTATCTACAATAGAAATAAAAAAATCATCATTATGACGATGAGGAGGGTATTTTGGTCTTTTGCACAGAAGAGATGGAGATGGAGATGAACAGAGTTACCATGAAATAAAGAAATGGAAAGAGAGATGATATTGGCAATGCTGTAAAGGAAAAATGGAAATAGGTGTTAGATTTCATGCAGCTTTTGAGTAACATTGAAAAATTACTACTAAATACTAATCATTAACTTTTTTAATCTAAATGCAGAATAAGAAATACAAAAACAACTACCATGAACATGACAGTTGCTTACCAACACAGAGCACCACAATCCATATATATACCACTTCCTTTATTGGTAACCCGGTATGCAGTTCTTTATACTGATCCACATTACACCCAGGGCACTTTTCATAATATACCTTATTCAATAGTAGTTTCTTAAACTCCTTCCCACCCATTTCATAAAAGCAAACTAAAATCCCAATTCAACTATCCAACTAATTAAGAGGTTTCTTGTTGATTTAATTTCGAGAAAGGGTGGTTTACAAATAAACAAGATCAGAAATTCCATACAGCTAATTTTTATTTGCGGGAGAACGAAAGAAAAGGGAAACGATTCTGTTTTACTGAAGTAGGGATCTCGGACTCCGATTTGATGTTGATTGATTGGGTTAGTTCTGGACTTTGCCATAATGGCGGTGGTTCAGACATTTTATCGAACAGATGCGATGCAGTGCAATAATTAATGTTCCAACAGAAATTAGGAGATCGGTTTTAATGACGAGATGACAAACGAGCATCGAACCATACTATCGTTTTCTTCTCTTTTACGTTTCACATTTTAAAATGATTCTACGTGGAAGACGTAAGCAACCGGCTATGGACAGGATAAACCGATAATTTTGGAAAAAACCGAAGATTTCCAGAGTCGTGAACATGTGAAATTGTATAATTTGGAGTTTCATTTCATGTAAAGACAAAAAATTTCCATGTCTATTTGTTTGGTAAGGCGGTGGCGATGGATTTTATGATGGCCACGACGGCGGAGGTGTGGTGGTGGTTAATGGTTACTTTTCTTCACATCGACATTTTCTGTCCATTCATTTTTAGCTGTATCAAAAACATCCACACATTCTCGCTTTAAACACAAAATTGTTCCAAAGTTTCATTGGGGTTTGGTTGCATGAAAGTTACAATTCATATTTGTTTTTTATTTTAATCTTTTTTTTTTTTTTTTAATATAAATATAATTTGGTTATATTAAACTTAATTAAAATACACCATTTAAAGAACCAAATTCTCGAATGACGCCGCTAATCCTCACGGTAGTGGTTTGTTAAAGAGTGGTTTTTTTTTTTTTAATTTTTTTTAACTTATTATGTTTGAAAAATTTAAAATATAATTTATAAACTAGTTTTTTAAAAACCAACTAGCTTTTTATGATTTTTTTTTTAAATCTTAACAAACTCGTAATTAATCATTAAACGTTATTTTTTATTAACTAGTTTTTCAGATATCAACTGACTTTCATATAACAACTAAATTTTTAATTATCAGTTACTTTTTAATAAACAACTAAATTTTCAATTATCGGTTACTTCCATATAACAATTGGTTTTTTATTTTTTTAATTTTCTACTTTTAGCAAAAGTATAATTACTAAATATAAAAAAAAAGTTTTTACAAATAATTTTTTTTTTAATATTTAGTAATTATACTTTTGCTAAAAATAGAAAATTAAGAAATAAAAAAAATAATAAAAATAAAAGGTCATAAAGTCTTGGGTTTGAGACTTGTTAATTATAGTTGATAGGGTTTTTTTTAGTTTTAGTTTTCTTTTTTCAAGAGAGATTTTTACTACCCGGTCAATCTTTTATTCTACCAGGCTCTTCAACAATTGACTTATTTTTCATCTAAAACATATTCGACAAAAATAATTGGAAGCTGAAAACTATAGTTTTTATTTATATATGTTCGGTAAAAATAACTGAAAACTTTTAAACCTTGTAAAATCACATAAAATGACTTATCTAAAACACGTCATTGATTAATAAAAAATATCAATTTGCAAAATTTAAACTAAAAGCTTTCAAAAACTATATGTCGAACACGCCTACGGTGTACATACAATTGTTCAAATGTACATACAATTGTTCAATGAAGGCCGATTAGGTTTCCGAATTCAACCTTTTTGGAGTTGTGATAAAAACCGAAAACAAAAACAAAAACCAGACTTTTAGGTAGCAACTTAAACAAATAACACACGTACATTGAATTGAAACAATTCTTTCCTAATAAGAAATTGGTTTAGTCAAGGAAGAAAATGATAACAACAACACGTTTCAAACCCATGTCACGTTTCTTTCACCAAAATTACGCACAAAACCTATTGTTAAAGAGTGGCCCAAAACATGTGATTTTTCCCTACTTTTTATTAAAAGATTCTATATTTAGATATTTTATTACGTAGTATTCTCAATTTTATGTTATGTTAAAAGATAATATTCTTGTAACATATGTAGTTTGAAAAGCTTTAACAAACATGTCATTTTAAAATTATAATTCAAATATAGTAACGATGGATTGAATAATTATTTCACAAAAAACAGTAAATGTAATATTCCATATCATTTACTGTAAAAAATGTTGATTTAAAATATTTTTAGAGTAAAAGTGCCAAAATTATCATCCTTTTATGTCATTTTCTTTTGTTCTTGAAAATAATCCCTTTACAAAAAGGGATCTTCTTTTATCATTCTTCTTTTTTTTTTTTTAATCTTCCGATTAATTTCATTATACCAGACATGCGTTATTATCAAAACACACATTTTCACTACAATTTCATGTAGCATTCGAGTAACATTGAATAATTATTTACTACTAAACATCACTTCCCTAGTTTGTTTGGCAAAAATAAATTAACTTATTGTAATTTAGCATAGCATGTAAGCAAGTTTTTTATATCGATAAATTAGTTTATAAACTAAAAATTAGTTAAATAAACAGTTAGACATGAGAGTTGCTTACCAGTAGAAAGCACAAGGAACCATATACATAACACTTCCTTTATCGGATACCCGGTTTGTAGCTCTTTATACCGATCCACATTACAACCCGGACAGTTTTTATAGAATACCTTATTCAAAAGTGGCTTCTTAAATTCATTGCCACCCATTTCATACAAATTAAAACCCCAATTCAGCTGTCAAAAAATGTCTAGAAATTGATTCTTCTCAAAAGAATATATGATCATGTTAGTTGAGGGAGAAATGAGAATGATCGGAAATGAAAATGGAAACGATTCTTTTTGTTGAAGTAGGGAACTCAGACTCCGATTATTACAATATAAAATGGGTGAAAAATCAACTTAAGAAACATCGTTATTTAGGCTGCAGATCATGACATCATCACATATGTCACTAATTGAGAGGCCATCGATGGGGACACCAAAGGATAGATGATATCAGAATTCAAATCAAACATTGGGATTTGATTGAATTGATTAGTTGATAGGGCTGGGTGAGGCATATAATCGAACACATGGTGTGCAGACGACAAACGACCACCGATTGGATCTCGTCTGTAGCCGCCAGCACCCACCGCATTGTCGTTTTCTTCTCTTACGTCTCTCATTTTTTAAAAAAGATTCTACGGGGAAGACGTAAGCAAATCCGCGATGGAGATAAACCAAGAATTTAGAATCGAAGCATAAAGCATCGCCAAAATTGTAAAAATGTGAAATCGGTATCTCTTCCCAAAAGATTAATGCTTTAGGTGTTCTTGCATGTCTGTATATGAGCTTAAAGATGAAGTGGTGGTGATAGATTTTACCACGGCGGAGCTTTTTGTCGGCAGTGGTTACTTTCGTTTTCTTGATGAAATGACTCGAATTAATTCCCATAATAGTCGGCGGACGTGGTTGAAAAATACAAGGCTTTGGATTTATTCTTATTTGTACATTTGTACATATATATTCTAACTTTGTATCAAATACATATTTTTTTTACCCAAATCATTAATAATAATTTCCTATAAATGAATAGTGAAATTATTATTAGTATTATTATTATTATTATTATTATTATATACTTGTAATTAATTTAAGACAGTTTAATTTGATTTTTTAGTATGATTTTTGTAACGTCATATTTTATATAAATTCGACTGTTTTATATTCATCTAAATAATAATATGTAATTTTTTCTGAAACCCAAACGGAAAAGTGTCCTCAAAACGACATAATTTTAATATTATTTATTGTTTAAATTTAATTCTTTTGATTCCGTTTGAAATAAAAAAAATCTTCAACTAATCCAATTGAATCTAAAAAATCTATTCTAATAAATGAAGATTTTTTTACACATGTCACACTTTTATTTAATTTGTCAAATGTTATTTTATCGTTATTTTAATTAATTTTTTTCACATATAATTTTATGAGTTTCATATTTTATTAAAATTTATATAATATTTTAATATAATAATTACAATAAATATAATAACAAATAGATATCAATATAATTAATAGACCTATCTTCTAATTTCAAAAGTTCTAAACTAAAGCTCATTAGTTTTATTTATTTATTTAACTTATTTATTTAAATTTAAAAGATAAGAAAAAACATTTTAATTATAATAATTTATTATTTTTCTTACATTCTTATAAATTCAAAGTTTTCAAATATTTAAACTTTCATATATATATATATATATATATATATATATATATATATATATATATATAATATATATATATATATATATATATTAAATTAAATTAACACATGTAATACATAAATCTCACAACTATTGAAAAAATAAAATAAAATAAATTAATTTTTTGAAAAAAAAAATATATCTTTTAGGGATTGGTTTTCCTTTTTAGCAAAAATGAAAAAACACACACCACATAATACTTACCCACATTTAAACGGACAAAAATCTCAGTTGGCAAAAATGAAATGAGCCTCACGTTTCAAACTTATGTCATGTTTCTTTCACCAAGATTGAAAAAAAAAAATAAATGAATAGCGACCCAAACCTTTGATTGATTATATCTATTTATCAACTTAGACCAATATGAAATATTATAATATCTTGTTATAACCAGGTTATTTAATTATTACGTGTTTTTATAAATTTTGGGTTATTTTAAAGAAACAAGTTTCCGATATATTGTTGTCTGATGAACTTTAATCACATTATGTCTTTAGTTTTTAAATGTACATAAAGACAAAATGATAAACGAATTAAATAATGATAAAAAGAAGATATTCATATACATCAAGTTTCTGGTATATACTACCATTCATGTTTTAAAAGATTATAAAATATATAAATTATATATTTTTTAAAGCACAGATAAATTATAAAACGTGCATTATGTTTTTCTTTCGGAATTGACAAATTAATCTAATCTTAAACTACTTCTAAATTTGCATTTCTCCGACAAAACTTGAACCGTCAACCTCAATCAAAGATGGTAACACAGCAATGAACTAGAAACCTTTGGATATATATATATATATATATATATATATATATATATATATATATATATATATATATATATATATATATATATATATATAATAAATCATTTCCCTTGTGAAAAGGCATTTTATCTAATATATGCTGAACCATTTGTGTACAAATTGCTTGATTTAGGATTTGTTAATTTTATTTTCGACAGTCATTAACTAAGGCGGCCACACATGTCTCGAGTTGCAGAAAACACATTAAAATAGGAAAAACCTTCAAAAAGATTTTATTAAATTCTTTAACTTTTGAAATTAATAATAATAATAATAATAATAATAATAATAATAATAATAATAATAATAATAATAATAATAAGGCATTAAATTCTTGTTTTTGAAAAGTTATTTTCCATATTTTACTGATAAACTCATATTTCTTTTACAAAATTTTCAAATATATTTTTATATGTATATTTTCATTTAACACTCTTCTATGTCATTTTATATGTTCTTATCTCACTTATCAATTTTACAAAAGATGATTACTTTATCGGCAACATATAATTTATAAGACAAAAACTAGTTCTTAGCTGAAACTTGAAATCAACTTTTCAAGCAACTCTATCAAACATATCCTTAATTAAACTTGAAGGAATAAATAAAAGCATTTGCAATATACTTACCAACACATAAGACCACGATCCAAATAAAAATGAGCTCCTTAATGGGTAACCCCTTTTGCATCCGTTTTTGACGATCCACTTTACAACCCGGGCAGTTTTCATGGTAAACTTGCTCCAAAAGCTCCTTTTTTAGCTCACTGTTGTTCGTCATTTGTTGAATCAAGATTCAACCCTTTAAACAAATCGCACTTTCTGTCTTTTGATCTGAAATCAAACCGAGTTTTTCTCCTCGTTCTTTCTCTCGGTAGAGAAAAAGAGTCGGAGGAGGAAAATGGAATTGGGCAAGAAGATAAAAATCTACGGACTTCACTCAATAATAAATACCATAAGTAAGTTACAATAATGGTCCCTGAATTGTTACTAAATTGGCAATTTAAACCTTACTAAGTTATGACTTTAGCCCTGTAGTTAATAAGTGACAAAATACTCCCTCCATGTAATAATATTATGAGTAAGTTGGTGAAGAAGTGAAGATGGAGAGTGGTATGTGTTGATGAAATAAAAGAGTTGGTTTATAAGTTAAACAAGTTTATTCACCTACATTAGTTATGTATGATTTAATGAATAATATCGGATACACAAATTTTGACTTGAAATATTTTGTTTGATAGAAATATATAAGGTGTAAATGAACAGAACGAATGCAAATAACGGTTTGTTCATGTTCGTTCATTTAAGTTAGCCGAACAAATGAACAAACACAAACGTATAAACAAACGAGTTTACTTGTTCATGTTCGTTCATTTAACAAATTATAATGTTTATGTTCGTTCGCTATGTTCTTGTACATGTTAAACAAACAAAGGTAAACAAACACAACTGAACATATATAAACATAAATGAACATATAATATAGTAATGTAATAAACATAAATGAACATATAATATAGTAATGTAATAAAAAAAATGAACATATATAACCCTAATAAACTTAAACAAACGAACATAAATAAACATAAACGAACAATATAAACACCCGTTCACAAACATAAATGAAAAAATGAGACTACTGTTCATGTCCGTTCATTTAACTAAACGAACAAGAATGTGTGTTCAATTTTGTTCATTTATTAAATGAATGAACATAAACGAACTTTCCATCAAACGGTTCGTTGAAAGTTCAGTTCTTTTAGAGCCCTAAAATATATAATTGAATAATATTTTATAGTTATATAATTGAATAATATTTTATAGTGACTTAATGAGTTCCATATGGAGTGTTGTTTCATATACCATCTTTGCATCACACATTGGTTTTCTTATTACGAGGGATGCAAATAAGAGATTTTAATGGGGTTTGAGGAATACATTGAACCCAATCCAAAATTTCATCCCCAATTTCTTGCCTATATATTCATTATACCTATCGGGGAATATAAATACATCATCATCTCATCTTCAACGGATAATGGTAATTTCTAGGAATTGGGATTTTGTTGGAAAAAAGTGGTTTGTATCTCCACTTCGGAACCAATAACAAAGTTGAGCTCGAGCTCAAATTCGTAATAGTTTATTACAAGATAACTTCATTTTGATATATGGCATGCGAGTCAAAAGAAGTTGTTATGAATGGGATATTGATTGTTAAAGTATTGCGTTAATAAATATTTAGAAAGTTGAAGGGCATATGAAAACTATAGAAATTAAACATTTCAGCCACGTTATATGTGGTTGAATTAGAGCTTTGAATAAATAAACACATGAGCAATAACCTATGCTACAATATAAGCTAAAACATTCTTTATTAGTATACAGAAATGTCATATAAAATCAATGGAATAAAAGTTTTCCCTTTTTTCTGATGACACTTGTTTCTTCCCATTTATGTGACAATAGTATAATATTATGGTTTTATATTTGATAATAGTGACTTTTTCAAAAATCTAGTCATTGTGATTAAAATCAATGTTGTTTGTATATATTAAAATTTATAGTCCAAATAGAATTATAGGAAAAAGGAATCACACACATTCTTTAAACAACAGAAATAGCACTACGATCACAAGGCGTAAGTTGCTCAACCCACTGAAAGCGAGTTGACAAAATTCCGGTGTAGAATATATAGAGGCAAATTACATGTATTTTTTAAAGTTGGGACTTGTGCATTTTTAAAGATTTGTTATCTCCTATATATTATATCATGGGAGACAAAAATCCAATACGTTGAATGGGATCTGGTTTAAGGAAAATATGTGTTACGTATCCGGGTGGTAATGGTATTGATCAATTTTGATTTGTATATTTTTTGGGTTGCAAGGTTCGAGTATGGGTTTTACATGAATCAGGATCACTAACATAAGTTTAACAATTATATTATAACAAATAAACATTTAAAGATTACATAAAAATTGTTAACCAATTTTATGTCCATATTCACAAAACAAAAAGGTAAATCAATAAATTTAAGGGGTGTTTGGAATTGCGTTTGAAAAGTATTTATTGATTTAATGATTTTTTGAAAAGCTAATAAGTCAAAAAAAATGTTTGGCAAACTCAAAAGCATTTTTTAGAATAGTTTTTCCATAAGCTTTCAAAAAACACTTTCTAATAAGCATATAAAATGTAGTTTTTTTGAAAATGTTTACGATTTTTCAACTAAAATAACTTTAAAAAACACTTTTTAAGCTAAATATTTTTTAACTTATTGACTTATTCTTTTTCACTATAAAAATTTATCCAAATACTTTCTAAAAAACTTCTTTTACCACCACTATAAGCAAATAAATTTTTTTGTCTAAAAACATTTTTGAAATTCAAAAAACCCTCCGAAATACCTCCTAAATAATTACTAATCATATGATATGATTGAGTGTATTAAAATATAAGCATATGAATGAACGAAAAGTGTCAACATGTTTCTAGTGGTACTTATATTATTTGTACGCCAACATAAACATATGGTTAAATGGGATATTAGCATCTTATATTCTTTTTCGAGATCATAAAAATCCTTTGAAAACGGTTTGTGAGATTTTGTTGTTTGTTACTTTTTTTTTTTTTTTTTTTTTTTTTCCTTTTCTTTTGGATTATAGCTAGAAAGGTTAGATGGTGTTTTAATTGGGCACGGTGCTTACAAAATCGTAGTATAACTATTTCCTCTATATAAATTTTAGTTTTTTTTTTTTTTTGCTAGTTTTTTAATAAATTTGTCACAGTTCTAAACAAAATGTAAATCAACAGAATAATAAGTAAAGAGTCGAGAACAATAACTAAAGATGTACTACATATGAGTTTATATTGTCTCTAGTTCATATGAGTTTTGATTCCTTTATAATTGTTAACCTAAAAAATTATATTTTAAAAGATTTGAACATGTGCTTTTCTTTACGAGTGGCTAAATTGAAAATTTAATTTTTTTGGTTGTGTAATTTGTAAAACATGGTGGATAAGTCCCTAAATATGTCATATATGTTTTTAAAGCATATATAGCAATTAAGATAAGAACGTACATTCTTAATGCATCATAAGTATCATGGCAGCTGCTAAAACAGTGGTTATTTAGTGATATCTATTTATAGAAAATGTTTATTTTCATGATTATAAGTTAAGGTAAGTGATTCGTATACAACGGTTTTTTTTTCCATACACAACAATTCATACATTATATAGTTGTACAATACAACATTTTAAAGCACCAATTGTTATGTATGGAGAAAAATTATTATGTACCGATCAGCTCTCATAAGTTAAGCATCGTTTTTACACAAGATTAGTAAATATTTGTGTAACCAAACAAGGATTAGTGAATAATTGTGTAACGAATTGAATACATGTTTACTTCATTACCTACATACAAGATAATAGAAAATAGTTATATTTCCATTTAGGTGCGGATATAGGAGGTTTCTGAAAATTTTGTAGCACGGTGTAAAAAAATTTTGCAAAATTTTATAAGGTAATGTAAAATTTTCCACTGGCAGACACGAAAAGTTAGAAAGTTTTAAACGAAAGGACGAATGTCAAAGAACATTTTTTGAATGAACAAAACGAACATTGTATAATACTAGAGGGACTATTTTTGTACCTAGGAAAAGAGGGATGTACTGATAATAATAATTATACAACGATGAGATCATTGCTAACGTGTCTCAAAGTACATGCATGAGAACGATTGGGAGGAATCAAATGAGACCCGTCTTGAGGCATTAATGTAATTTAGCATTGCTTTCATTCAATGTCTATTTACCTTCACTGAGATATCAAATACTGACGGCTAGAACAATACGTTTTATAAATAATTATATCATATCATATTATAAATAAAGCATTTTTTTTCTTACATTATATTCATTTATTATTGAAGTTTTCATTAACTTTTTAATTCTTTCTAATAATATTATAACTTTTCATTAACATTTTAATTTCTTTCTAACCATTTTAAATCATATTAAATAAATAAATAAATCTATCTAAAACATAAAATTATAATTGTTTGGAAAATTAATTTGATTCATAAGCACAAAATATATATTTTCGGTTATATTTTCTAAACAAATATATTGTTGTAATAATTTTTTGAATTATGAAAATACATATAAAAGAACTTTCAATATTACGTAGCTTTAATAAATTTTTATGATTTTAAGATTCAACAAAAAATTATTCGATAAAGATTTAATTTTTGTATAACAAGTTACGTGATTATTAAAAAATAATATTATTGAGCAATAAAATTTTTGGATAACATTTATTTATTTATTGTATGAAAATTAATTATCCATTTGATTCATAAGCATACAATGAATACTCGGTTATATTTTATAAATAAAATTATTTTATAATGAATTTTTGAATCATGAAAATACATATAAGCAAATTTTATATATTACGTAGTACGTAGCTTTAATAGATTTGTGATTTTAGGATTTAACAATAAGTTATTTAATAAAAATTTACTTTTTTGAATAACAAGTTACGAGATTATTGAAAAATAGAATTATAGAATAATAAAATTTTATATAACATTTATTTATTTTATTTACCTAATATATTATTTAACAAGATGAAATTATTAACAAATAAATAAAAGAGTTTGATTAAAATGTTTTCATCCCATATCGATGGTCAGAATAAATAAAAAAATATCTATACCTTTATAAATAGGAAAGACTATAAAATGTTCTAAAGGGATCAAGCTCTAAGAACTTCATTGCCTGCCTTTATGTGATGTTGAGATTATTGTTTGGGAAGTTTGTCTTTGTTGGCAGGTTTCCAATTAAGTTTCTGATATTGAAAAATGGTTTTTTGTTAGATTTTTCCTTGTTAAACTCGGGTTTTCAATA